CGGGCAGACAATATTTTCAAGTGTTTCTAAGTCGTCGTCGACAGCAACAACAACAACATTAGCAACAAGAAATAAACAACTATGACAACTTCGATGCCTACGCACACTTTTCGTTTCATTGTTTATGCATACGCTAGCAAAGGGTATTTTAAATTTATATTGGCAACTATATAAATAAATAATTAAGAATTTGCTTTGGCTTAAAAATATATTTTATATATTTTTTATTGTAAATTAGTACATAGCCCGAAAAAAACAGAGTTGCAACAAGCGGAATATGAAATTTGAAATCCTTAAAAAAAACTGAGACAGAGCGCGAAAGGTCACAGCTATTCAGTAATCGATTTCTTGGTAAGTAATAAAAGATATATTAGAAATTTGAAAGGGGCTTAATAGAAGAGGAAGACTCATTTCAGATGGCATTATTATTGTTATGAAAAAAAGTATATGTAACAGAAAAGAATGCCTGAGAGAAGAGACAAAATGCAGCTCTCTTGGTCTTTGATTTCAATTTAAGGAAGTATAGATCACGCATAAATTTATTATGATTTATATTAAGATTATAACTTTAAGCTTGTATATTCTATTCAATTATAAATGTTACTTCTATGTGTACAGAAGGCAGGCAACTCAACATGCACACGAAAAGAGATTCGAGTCTCTGCAGCAGATTTCATTTGTCTAGAACTAAAAATCTTTAAACAAGACAAAAAATATAAAAATTTGTACTATATAAAAAATATATAAAAAATATAAAATTGTCTAATATAACTTATACATCTTAACTAACATTTTGTAACTTCAAATATGAAATGAAATTTCCTTAAAAATAAATTTTTATTAATATATTTCAAACTCAGTGTTCAGCATTTTCTTGCATTGTGAGCGTATCTATGGTTCGTCTTGGAACACGTATTTGTCGCCGCTTGTCGTTAAGTCTTTCGACTTGGTTTGTTTGTGAACTTGTTTTGGTTACTTGTTGCTTTTTTGTCTGTTGTCGACGCGGCTGCCGCCGCCGCCGCCGCCACCGCCGACGCGTTGCGACGCCACAAGCGTCAACAGGTAAACGTAAACATGCCCCACACACGCGGCCAGTTGTCGGAGACAACTCGACTCCGAAAGCTCAAGAAAAACGCATGTTTCACATTTGTTATTGACCAAGCTGAATGGGCCAGCTCTCGGAGGGCTTGCATATTTTCTAGTCTTAAAGCGCGTTGACGGGAAAAACGTGTAAACGAAAACTTTTTGGAAAGTGCGGAAATCTCTTTATGAATGAAATTGGGTCTCAACGACACGGGACTGTGTCGATTGTGTTGTCATTTGATTAATAATCGGCTTCGATGCCGAAGCTTGGGTTGGGCCTTGAAGTTGAAGTTGAAAGTCTATCATCAAGGGATCAAATCTGTTTCTATTGTGGTTCAGTTCAAGTGCTTGCTACCGGTTATTAATGTCTTTACATATTTGCGTGGAGTGTTTAATGATGTTGAAGTTGTTTTTTCGTATCGGAGTGGACATGAAGTGCTTGTTCTTATAAATAAACTCTTAAAGCGAAAAATATATTTTATTATAATATTCACTTTATAACAGGCAGAGTGCATAAAACTATTCAACTTTATCTCTAACTACAAAACAGATTTAGACTGAAATATTCTCTAGCCACGTTTTCAGACTAATAACAGAAATAAAAGACAAATTTAAATGAGGCTGGCTGGATAAAGTTATTCGACTGGCAAACCGACAAGTTGCTAAGCAATTTTATTGTTTCAAAACAGAATCCCATATCTTAATAATTATTTGCGCAATTAAATGATAAGAAACTAAAAGTTGCTCTCCACGAACACTAAAAAACACTTTAAAGGCGAAATATTTTTAGCACTAACATTTTTTGTGCTCAGTATTTGACACCAGCTCACTCGAACGGTAATATTTAATTCATTTCAATTAGTGGATCATCATTTAAGTTTCTGTAAATTTATACAACTATCGCACAACTTTGATCAATTGATTTGGCAACTGAAAGGTAATTCTTAATTATGCACGGCTGGAGTTGATTGACTCGAACGAAGAGTTGTTGCAACATGAGCATGTTTATTAAAAAAACTTTTGTATTACAATCGAAATAACTGTTAAATAAGAATTGGTAACGTTCGTTTGGATGCTTTTGTCACTCAAAAAAATTTGCGTTCAACAAATTTCTGTTTTAATTTCACTTAGTTCGCTTGGCTAGCGGAGGCAGGCCTGGGATACGTATGCATAATTAATGCACATTTCACTTTAAAATGCACACACACATACACACACACACACGGGCGCGCGCACTTACACAAACACACACAATGGCGGTGGCTGTGCCGCCTTTTCCGTGCGTTGCTTTAAGCAAAGATTTGCGATTAATTGTTGCACGATGGGATTCAATTTGCATGTGTGCAAATGCAGCCCATAAACGTGCGCTTGCATGTCTGCGGGCGCATGCAAGTGCGGGTGCGTGTGCGTGTGTGAGTGCACGCCTATAGGTATGCAAAGACAAATTATATGGTAAACTGATTTACTTCATCCTTTCATTCACATTTGGCACAATTGTCTATCTTTATCATTTATATATCTGTATATATGTAATTATATATGCACTTATAATTTTTTGAGATTTTCTGTTGAGTTTCTGAATAAATAATATTTGAATTGTTTACAAGCCGGTTAAACAAATCAGCGCTCGGCGACCGTTATCAACGCGCGTACGGACGCATCTCAGAACACGAACTGAACTGACGAAGAGCAACGGCAAGTGCGAACCAACGCTGGCAGCAGCGCTGTCGACGCCAACAGTCGCAGCATCCAACGGCAACCGTAGCCGTAGTCGCAGCAGCAGCTGGCAAGCTATCCAAAATAGCGCCACTCGGCTGCCGTCGTCATCGGCATGTGCCGAGATAACAAAAACAGAGAACGAAAACGAAAACGAAAACAGAGCCCGAGAGTCAGTTCCAGTGGAGAGTTTCGGCGCGCGCTCTCTCCCAGTCTACACGGCAAACAGCCGGTAAATATAACGGTATTCGCCGGCAAAATACGAAAGAGACAAAACATTCACTGATTCCAAGCTATAAGATACCCTGTATAAGCCGACTTGATTTTAGTTTTCATTTTGTTAAATTGGTAATTAAATTGAAAATTAAAATTTCAAAATTAATTAAACAAATATTTTTTTTGTAAGTTTAATAATTTAAAAAAGTAGCTTATATACCCCTTCTCTCGAAGCCCGAAGCAAAGCATATTTGACAGCAAATTGCTCTGTATCCGTTTCAGCATTGCCAACACAAAAGCTAAAAGTCAAAAACGCTTTTGGGCAAGTAAAGCTCAAGCTCTGACAAATCGAGTTGGACGAACCGAATTGAAGCTCAACTTAGAGCTTTTGTCTTTGGCACTAGGATAAAGGTATGAAAAGCTTTAAATCGAAAGCTTTTGAAGGTTTGATGAAATGAATAAAGGAAACATTACAGTTATTTTTAATTATGTGAACTTTCGAAATGGGTAAAAGAACAATTACATAGAACATATGTTAAAGTTCTTCAGGTTTTAGTAAAATGGAAAATGTATAAATAAATTAATAATTTATTAATTTTTTAATTTAAAATATATATGAATGCACTTAAATTATATCCTCAATGCATGCAATGAACAATTTGAATGAAAAGAAAAGTGAAATGTGAAAAGAAAACGCATTTACAATAATTGGCTCAAATGGGCGAATGCATGATTATAATAGTGGAGTGGAGGGCGGCCACATGGAGCACAGTCAAAAGAGGGCTGATGATCATTGAGACGGTGATGATGATGGTGATGGTGCACGGCCAGTAACCCAGGCAGTAAATACAAACATTCAAACAGACAGACGCCACGCAGCACTTGAAAAACGCGCCGCACTTTGAAATGATGCGTGGGTGGAGGATGAGCCGGTGGCATGCTCTGGTGTCGCTGATAAGTGTCGAGGCACACAGGCAAATAGGACTGAAGAGGGCGGTCTGTGCGCGTGTGTGTGTATGAGTGTGTTGCATGCAACCCATTGGAGGCTGCAATGGCAATTCGGGTTGCAAATGCCATTGAGACATTAAGTGGTCGAGCACACAACTCGCTTCATTCCAATCCGTGCCGGTCATCAAAGCAAGGCTACAAAGTAAGCAAATTCGAGTGGATCCGCATGGGGCACGGCACTTGAGCTTCGATCTGATATCACAAATTGATTGCATGTTTCATGGTCATACGGAAAATGAAAATTGGAAATACTTAAAGAAAATTAGCTGATAAACCCAAAGCAACAGCGCGCGAGCGCCTCAAATGCGGGTCAATTCGATTCAATATACAAATGCAAAGGGGAAAAACTCTTTTGAGAAAATTGCAATTAATTTTCTGAGTGTAGCCCAAAACAAAGAACGAACTCATAGATCACAAAATGCAAAATCAACAGAACAAATAAATAAACATTCAGAGAATTTATGATCATCCGTGCCAGATATCAGATATCGGAAATGTACCTCAGATATATAAATGTATATATACATATATACTCTTCAATAAATCAGTATAATTCAGTGTAAATAATGCTGGCTAAGATAACATTTTTGAAGAACTCCATTTACAACTGTAGAAAATTTATTACAAAAAAAATAAATAAAATAAAAATAAAAATAGATTTTCAGAAATTTTTCGAATATCTTTCGATTTATCTCTTTTAGAAATAGTATTTTTGCGCAGTTGCAGTAAATTTCATAATCCGTTATACTTTCATATATGTCAGCTATATTCAAATTTTTGAGTAAATTGTTCGCACTTTTATCCACTGTGCACACTTAATGCCTTACAATAATTCTCTGACGCGATCGGTCAATGCTCCAGAGACTGAAGTAAGGCATAAATCTTTCAGTTGAGACCAGGTTAATTGTGGTACAAAGACAGCGGTGCATTCGTATAGAGGGAACAGTCGAATAGGGCAAATTCTTTTATGCACTTACCTTAAACATCATCGGATTGCGATCAGTGTCCGACTCTGCATTTTCGCAAAGTGTTTCCATTTCCGAGAGAAAAGCGAGAAACTGCCAGAGAAGAAAAATCGATTAGAGAAATGTGATATGATATGACAGCGTTGCTAACCTGATCCATTTTACGATCGAACGATTGCAGATCGTGCACAGCGGCATTCAGCTGTTTGCCTCGATTGATGACACCATTGTTCAAGTGGGAATAGCTGCAAGGGGAATTTGAAGAGTATATTTAGAGATGCATACGATCTGTTCCTTCTCTTAATTTTAAGCTCAGATTATGATCTATTTTTGATTTTAGGAGTATAAAGTTAGCTTGTCTAAGATAAATATCTTTCGATAGTTTTTATGAAGCTTACGAATTTACTGAAGCTCAAGCCTTTTACTATGGAGAGAACGTGTATTGAAATAGAACATTTTATGGTAATTTAGATAGAAGAAGTCAAATAGGAGTAATTCAGATAGGAGTAGTCAGCTGCACCTACAGCTCTGTTTGAATACTCACAAATAGAGCGCTCTCACTTCTCTTAAGAGTGTTTAAAAGGACTACATTAAAACGTGAATAGCGCTCTTATTCTTAGAATTAAAGAGGACTTTTCCTCCCTCTTAAGCGACTTGCTGTGATTTATTTTATTTCTGTTTATACGGCTGGAGCAAGACAAGTGCAAGTCATTAATTTGCATTGCATGCAAATCGCAGAAGCGTTTCAAATTGAAGTCGCGCAACTGTTTGCATTTTCGCATTTCATTTAGTTTGGCGCTGCACGATTTCAATAGACACTCACCGTTGATTAATGGACTCAGTCATCTTCTTAACTCTGGAAGTATCATCGTTTGGATAGACTGCAATTAGATTCTGCGTCAGCTCGCTGAAGAGGTCGAAGTGCTGCTTATTCTGATGCAGCTCGGCGTGGAAGGACTACGGATATGTAAAGGAAATAGATTAATTTATGCGCTCCATTGGCAGCCAGCACAAGTCACCTTCTGCTCCTTCTGCTGGGCCTCCAGTATATCTGCTGTGGCGCCCACAGTACCCATGCGCTCGGCTCTCTGCTCCATGCGCGCCAGCCACATTTCCAGCTCGACGCGCTTGGCCTCAAACCTGCCAATTGGAATTAAGCAATTAATTGGATTGACCCCAAAGCAGGCTAAAGGATAACCTACCGCTGCGAGTCGCTCAGCATGCTCTTCAGCTGTGCCGCCCGCTGCAGAACGCACTGCGACGTCTCATCCCAATGCTCCCTCAGGCGGGTCACTGTGAATGGCAGAAAAGGAAGGAGCTTAATTAATGTCTGCATTCAGAACGCCTAGCAATTGGTTACTGTTAAACAACATTAGCTAAAGCAACAATAAAAACATTTTAATCGAGTGACACAAGTTAGCTATGGTGTAATCTCTAGTGAACTGGGGAGCCTTTGGAGTCCCTCCCAACATTTATGGACCAAGTTGTAAGTGTGTAAAACGCCATGCAACATCATTAGTAAACAAAGGAGGAAACAAGCGAACTGTGCTTCGCTTGTTCGGCGGGACTTCGTGTGTGAGATGGTCTCAATTATTATCAGATTAGTTGGAGCCCACTCTCTCATACGGCTAGTGGGGGCTGTTAACTCTCGCACAACTTGGTTAGCATAAACACAAATTGTATTCGTTACCTTTCAGAAAGCAACGTAAATAGTCTAAGTCAGCTGAACAATGCGGTGCTATGCAAAATTGTTTCAATTCTAGCAGGGAAGTAATAATGGAAGAAAATCAATAATATGTTGTACAATAAATATAAATAATAAATTAAATAAGCTAGAAATAGCATCATAAATACTTAAGCAAAGAAATTTTATAAAAACCAAGACTTCTTCAATGAGACTTTTTTCATGTGTATGAACATTAAATGCATAAATACTTGAAATAAAAAATATATTTTCTTATTAAACTAATAAATTAAAAATCTTAAAATATTATACAAAATTTAATACAAATTTATTCGTATTGTCTTAAGCAAATGGTAGAATATGGTGTAAAATAAATTTAGGAATATATAGAGATATAGGATTATAGAACTTAGCTTAGTCAAGTCTTGTGCCCAATTAATTCAACTTAACTAACTTATAATATTTTATAAAGTGATGGGAGCCATGTGCATGAGAAATCTCTATAAGGGGAACCTTGTCTAATAGGAGAAGAATGTTGTCAATTGAGCAAAATCCTCAAAGGATTTCCATTCGCTCGAAATTTGGGTCGACTTGGAGCCAAACCTCAGTAACTTAATTCAAGCCACATCCATCAAACAAAACGATAAACACGCATCGCATGCCAATTTATTAACTCAAACTCTCAATTTTAATGTTAATCCAGTCCCAAGAAGTCTTAGAAATTCAATTCTGGAAGAGCTTCTGAAACGTATTCTGCTTACTATTCAGGCTTTTATATGCACACAAAATACATTTACTAATTAAATTCATATTTATATTAAATATATATTTATAGTATAAAAATATTTATTAAATTTCTTAATATGTATTTTTAAGTATATTAAAATCAATCAACTAAGAAGTAACTGAAAATAAAAATAATAAAAAAATTAATAAAGCTTTAATTCTACTATTCAGAAGAACTTTGCAAATGAAGCTGGAAAATCAAATTTCAAAATGCATTCAAAAAGAGTTTTACTGGTTTCTCTTTCTTCCTCTTTCTTCTCCAGTAAACTAGCTCCATTATATTTAGCTAATTGAAAAATCTAAGCTAATTATATGGGGCATATTAGATGCTTATCTATCATTCTAACTATTCATCACTCAATCAGTCAGCAATAAAAAGACAGATAATTAATCTGATAATTAAAGCTGTCAGCTCCACAGTTTGGTCTTCTTCTTCTGCTTCATCTTACCCTGAATGCCGGCAGCTGCGTTCTGCGATATTTGTGTCTCGTCGTGCGACGAGCGTCGACGCATGCGCAGCTCCTCTCGGGACAGTCCGATGGGCACGACGCCATTGCCGGCGACGACCTGGGCGGCAGCAGCAGCGGCGGCCGCAGCAGCCCGCGACTGAGCCTGATGTTGCAGCAGTGCAGCGGCTGCCGCCGAGCCGGGCAACTGGCCCATATTGTGCACCACCTGGGGCGGTATGTTGCCCAGCAGCTGCTGGCGGATCTGTTCACGGAATTCGCTGCTCAGCGGCACGGGTGGCTGTGGCGACTGCTGCTGCTGCTGCTGTTGAGAGGATTGCGCCGCTAATGGAGCGCCTACGCCGGGCGCATGGTGGCCAGGGGCCGACAAGTTGTTCTGCATGCGATGGCGACTGTACTGCAATTCCAGAGGCAGATTACGATCGAGGGAGCGCATGTGATGCTCGATGGTCGAACGCATCGATTGCTCCACTTGCGAGGCCGATGCGGACGAGACGGACGACGAGGATGAGTTGTGTATGGACTGCTGCTGTGCCTGGGCGCGCAATTGCTTCAGCTCCTCCAGCGATTGACGCGAGTCGCCCGCACGATTCTCATCGAGTGACAAGTTGCGCTCATAGTTGGTGGTGCGCAAATTGACGGAGCTGCCCAGGTGACGGCCGCCGCCAGCGGCGAGGCTAGCCTTAAAGCTCAGATCGAAGTTGTTCTGCACGGCTGCCTCCAGGCTGCGCAAGTTCATCTGCTCCTGCATGGCGCGTTCCATGTTGCGCAGGCCGCTCTCAATGCCACGCAGCGCATCCTCCGAGCCGAACTCGTCCGTGGGTGAAAGGGCCGCAGGAGCTGGTCGTTGGTTCAGCTTCTTGGTCTCGCTGGCACGCGTTGGCGCCGGCGAGGGCACCGGGTTACAATTTCCGAGCGCATTCGCATTCTTGGAGCTCTGCTCACTCAGCGCTGCCACTGCCGACTGCAGCACCAGCGGCGGCGGCGGTGGCGGCATCTCAAAGGGATTCGAGCAACGGCGTGCTGCCATTGCCTCAGCGGATAGCGTTGAGTGCTTCTCTGGCGGCAGTGGCGGCTTCTCCTTAAACTTAAGCCCCGCCAGCGGTGAGCTGTGTGCGCTGTTCTGCGCTGAGCTGTGAGCCGACGCGGGCTTCTTAGGCAACGGCGGCGGCTGGCGCAAAGGCGGAGGCAGTCCAGGCACCACCATTTGCTGGCCATCGGGCAGGCTTTTGAGGCTATGCCGCTTGGGTGGAATTTCGGGCGGTGCCGAACGCTCGCTGGTGCCGCGTGCTGGAATCGCTGGCACCGGCCGACTCAGCGGCGGCAGCGGTGGCGGCGCCGCCTTTTGGCCGGGCGCTTGCTCCTGGGAGATCTGTTTGCGCAGCAGCTGCTGAGCGCGCAGCGCAGCCTGGGCGGCTAGCTCCGAGTTGAGCCGTGGTATCTGCGGCGCCAGCTTGGGCAACTGGTCATCGGGCACCGTTGGCGGCGCCGGCGGCGGCGGCTTGGCAGTCATCGCTGGTCCTCGATTGTCTTGTGTGTGGCAATGTTGTGCGTATTGTTGACGTTGTGTTGTGCGTGTCTGCGACAGCTGCTCTGGGCTTAATAACTTTCACTTCACTTTATGTGCGGCATCACGTGCGGCCTTCGATATGTATATTTTGCATTGTCTGACGCGGCTTCGATTCGTACAAAAAATGCGGCTCTGTTGTTGACATTGATAAAGGCTTAACAAATGCACCGATAACAGCAGCAACAGCAACAACGAGAGCAGCAACCCCCTGCTGGCAACCGGCTTTTGCCCCCACGCGAGTTGCGCCCGGGTCTGGGTTTGTTTATACAGCACGCCGGAAACTCAACACAGTTACAGACCACAAGCAAACACAACACAACAAATAAATGGAGCACACAGGTAAGCGCACAAAGAGAATGCGACAATGGGAGCCCAAGAGAGTGTGCTCTTTGCCAGCGAACTAGCACACATGTCCGCCACCCCAGCACCCCAGTCCAACACTCCACCACCCCACCACCCCACCACTCTCACCCACACACGCACGCAGCTCTCTCAGTGGGTTATTGCTCTTTCACACACGCTTTTTCACCACACTTTGCGCCTTGCTCTGCGCCGGCTGTCAACGCACAGGCGGCATTTTCTTTGTTTTTCGCAATCCCTGAAAATGTTGCAAAGTTTTGCGACTGTTTTGCTTTGCTCTCTGCTTCGCAGTACAGTAGTTATTGTATGTAAGGGACAAGTTAGATATTTGCTTGCTGTTATTATCGAAAGAAAGTTAAGAGTTTCTTGTATAAACTCGATCTATTTGCTTTAAAATTCATTAAAGTTAAACAAAATATTTTCTAATTATATTATATATCTTTTAACTCTATTTAAGTTTCATTAAAATATTTGTTTCTGTCTTACTCACTTCATTTCTCAACTAAAAATATATTCTAATACATTCTCTGCTATATCCGTTTCATAATTCTTTTATTTTATTTTTTTCCATTTAAACAAAATTTTTGTAATAATATTATTTATCTTTAAACTCTATTTAAGTTATATTAAAATATTAGTTTGTTTTACTGAATTAACTTCTCAACTAATATAATTCTAAATATATTCTAATAATTTTTCTGCTTTATCCGTTTCTTAATTCTTTTATTTTATTTTTTAAAAATATAATCTTCATTCTTATTTATATGTTTATATTTCAGCCTTTGCTTCTTTATACTTAGTCCTCACTGTACATTATTTCAGACGCGTCTGCTGTGAGTAAACATGTGTGTATAGTTGAGTGCACAACTCGGCAAGACAACAAAGGCACACACCCATTCACACACCCACCCACCCACACATTCGTCAGTTGGCCGGCAAATGCTGTGTAGCGCCCAAATGTATGCAGCAAAGTTTTACGCAGCGTCACGAAGAACTTTTGCCTTTGGCTTTTGGCGACTGCAACAAGGTGCACGAGGCAAGTTTGTGTGTTGCATGTGTTGCTGTTATGCTTGTTGCGGCTGTTATTCCATTTGTGCGCCCCAACGGTGCGCTTTCATTGTCCCGTCCAGTCAGTGCCATGCCATTAAACCCCAGAAATGGCCCGTGGCAGGTGCATTTAACTTCTGGCACACCTTTAAATGCACATAACAATGTCGACGTTGCAATGGCCTGCTGGCCATTTTGCTCAGTACATTTTTATTGTCTGTCTTGGCCTATCCCCAAGCCACATTTGCCCCATCTCCCCTGTCTCTCTCTCTATAGCTCTCTCTCTCTCTCATCGCTCTGCTACAATTTGTATAGCGACTGTCTGTGGCTGAGTTTGGCCTTTGTTCTGCTCAAATGCTTGACTGCATTTGATAGTTTTTTAAATCATGTGCAACCACATTGTGCACGAATAGCTACTCGTCCTCAGTTCACTAATTACTCGACTTTTCACTTTGCCCTCTGTTTGCAACAAAATCAGCTTCATATACGATTTGTTTTTCATTCTTATCGCTAACTTTTTGCAATTAGTTGCAAATATTTTGTAGTTTAAGCAGCTTAACTTAAATAGTGAACATTTTGAAGGGCTTCTAGCTCAGCACACAAATGGCAAAATTCGAAAATGAATTGAATTGAATAAGCAAGCCAAAAGGCAGGACTATCATATGAGAACTTCCTAGTCAATATATATTTTATAGAAATTTCTTGATAAATTTTTAATTTATTAAAATTTTAAAGCAAAGGCAATATTTCTATAGATTAACCAGAGTTTAGTTTACTTTCCGGGAAACTGCCTATCAAAACACTTTTAAACCTAACTTTAAACCACATTTGTTCTTTATTCCTTT